TCGCAAAGGCATTAGTGACTGGCATTCGTCAGATTCCTTTGTGTAAATACTTCCATTATTCTCTGAAAGAACAATTTCATTTGATTTAATCGTTGTTTTTTTTTTTGAAATCATTTCATCAGTCATTTGATTGAATTTATCTGATTATAGTTTACAGATGTAACAAAATTTGAATGAAGGTCATTTTTTGTTTTTTGATTCATTTATATAAAATTTTGGCTCGATATGAAGAAGTAAAGTGATCGTTTGAAAGAGAATTCGTTCCAGGCGAAACAAAGATGCAACTTTTATCGATCGGTATTGACGTGGGAAATATGTGGTTAGGTCCGATGGGAAATCAACTGCTGAAGGTTTGTTGATTGATTGATTGATTTGTTACGTTACCGTTATCACTATTATCGTTGCTGTTCGTTCCACCGTAATTGTCTCCAATTCCAGTTTCTACAGTGAAATTTTTGAGTACCGAATAAGCGTAATGGATATTCATGTTGTGTTTTTTATTTTACAGCCAATACAAGCAGATGAACGAGTGAAAATAGCGACTTTTGTTGCGAATTTAAGCAAATCGCATCGTCGAAATCGTACCGAATTGCTGTTGAAGAAGGTGGATTTGTTGAAAAACGAAACGATTGACTTGATAAAATCGCCATCGGATTTGGTCGTTTTCATCTATTCGAATGCGATCAATTGGAATGATCCCATCGATAAAAGTATATTTAAGATTAGAGCTGTTTTCAATTTAATTGGTCTGTGCAGTGATGTGCGTACGACTTTTGCGATTAAAGTTTCATAATATAAGCGTTTGAAGAGCATACTAAAGCAGAATTAGTTATCTATTGCGGCAGTATTTATCACTGTCAACCTTCGGCATTTCGAGAAGACTGACTGTCATTTTTGTCATATTTCAGTGGAATTTCTGGAAGTGTGAAGTTTGTTCATTTAATTTTTAAGTTACTGATTCCATTCATTCGATCATTGCTACTACAATTTCATTTAATCGATCAGTTTTAGAAGCGAAACTGGAATTACTGAACGAATTAGTGGCATTGAATGATCTCGATCATACGGCCATCCTAGATGAGTTAATTGAAAGTTGGCTAGGGACGGATGCCACTGCAGCAGACGCAAAAGATGTATTATAATTCAAATGTTTTTTAAAATGAGAATTGACTAGAAATCGTGTTTTTATATTTGATTCAGACCGCAAAATTGNTTTTATTTTTGATTCAGAACGCAAAATTGATTTTGGACGAATAATTTTCATTCGTTGATTGATCATTATGCAGTTATGATCCATCTGAAGCAATGAATGCATTCGAATTCAGGGAATGACTGATGGACTGATGAATGGAAATGTTGCGGTGCACAATCCAGCAAAAGACCTCGTCTATGATTTTCCTTACTTGGACTCATCTGTTTCGAGAATTGTTCATTTGTTGCGAAGCCGACCACCAACGCAAGCGGCCGTCTATTTGACAAGTCTTATCAATAAGGTTTGTTCAAAATGCAAAAAGAAAGAATCGATTGTGTTATTATTGGATAATCCAAATCAGTATTGTATCACCGTTATGGCTGTTTTTAGTCATATTCCTGTTGTCATTGCAGGACTCGAATGTTGTTTTGCACGATACAAAAATTCGCTCGATATGCTGTCTTATGCGTTTACTAAGCCCAGAACAGTTCATTTCAATTCTTGGCTATGATGCAACCAATGTTTGGTATGTCATTTGTACACTTGTATCAGTCACCTACTTGAGGCATTCTCGTGAAATTACTTATTGAGCGGGAGTTTTCTCGATACTTTCATGCAAACAGTTATTCATTTGATTGTAAGCAAACATCTGCTTGTTTATTATCACTTGTCTGAACCATAGAACAATAATTTTGGTATTTGATCATCCGAATATGTTGGGCATATCATTCTATCACCCAACTTGACCCATCGCTCATCGCACCATCGAACACGCAATCCCCTCTCTTGCAGCATCAAAAGATTCTTGCTTCTGTTTGTGACGATCACCTAATGCAAAAATGTTCTCTTCACTCTGAATTCGCCTTCATTTTTCAAAAAATTACGTTCCAGTGTAACATTGGAACGCTTGTTGTATTCACGTCTGATCAATGTTTGTCGCATCGATTTACCGATTCAAACGTTTATCGAGCAGAATAAAGCGCATCTAACGAAATCGCTTCTATCGAGCGGTGTTCGTCAGAGCATGGAGGTAATTTGTTGTTGGTCACTGCTGATTTGATTGTGTTCGTCACTTTTCGGTTCGATTCTCATCGAAAACTTGTTCATTGTTTTCTGCTGATATTAATGATCGCTTTCTGTTTCGAACTTGAATCGCTGATGTTGCGTTTCAGTTGCTGCATTTTATCGCGTGTGTGGTGATAGATTACGAAGTGGTTGATCGTAAACTGATCTTCGATCTCTTAACGAAGCTTTACGGTGGAAGACAACGTGAAATTGTTTCGCGTCTTCTTTATTTATGTCGATTATATCCAGCCCTAGCGAGACAACATAATGATTTGGCGTTAATTTGGAGAGATATCGCTGACTGGATGTATTTTAGTATTGGTTGGTTATTATTTTATACTTATACGTTCAATTATTTCCATGAAAATAGACAACTCAAATAATCTTCAAGCGGTGATTCTTAATTCTTATCAAATTTCTGGTCTTTCTAATTGAACGATAGAAAGTTTTCTTCCAATCGTGATAATCCAAGTTTAGAAATACCATTTTGAGTTTGAGAGACTTAATCACCGTAACAGATTGACAATCTGTGTGAGTGTCCGTTTTGTTACTGATCGCTATTTCAGATGATTCTGATCCTTCCATGAACGAGAAATTGCGACGTTATGTGTACTTTTGTTTGAGGTTGGTTCCTACCTGGAATATAGCGCTACATTTTATACGTAGCCATTTTTATTGACAGCTTCGCAGATCTTTTTGAACATCTTTCTTTATGAGATTATCTCTCTTATTCAATTTTCAGTTTGTTTCTTCTCATTTCTCATGCTAATATTTATTTATCTAGCATGTTAAGTGTATGGTTTTGGGGATAGAGCACCCAATGGATGATTTGTTTGTCATGGGTTTGATTCCCATTCATGGGAGGAAATCTTGCTCGAACCTGAATGGTGCATCAATGCCATTAATGTTGGAATTTATTTAAAATGCCAAATTTCAGTTCACCAGTAGAAGGACGACGCATATTCGACACTCTACGCGTTCAGATGCAATCAGCAGGTCTTTTGATTGCTGCACATCTTTTCTCGCTTGTTGCTTTACCAACACAGGTCATTTGCCGTTTCTTCTTTCCATACATATGTGGTTATTGTATTTATTGTTGTAAACCGTTTTTTTTTCACATTTCGCTGATGGTAGGTAATGCTCTTTCATAAATAATTGCGTTGTAACAATTTGATTGCTGACCTGATAAGATCTCATATCCAGCAGTCATAAGTAATGTTCAGTATGTGGTAGATATCATCATCTGTTGCTTACACTTCGATAAAGCATCAGAAACGATAAAGTAATTTCATTTTAGAAAGAATTTGGTATACTGAAGATAGCAGCGAATGAGCGACGCACTGAAGCAGATTTGCAAATGAGCTGGTTGCAAAGTGGTTCTTTTGCAAAGTGAGAATCGGCGTGTTTGTATTATATTTATTAAATAACAATTCCAGTCTTTATTATATTCAGTTCTTCGTTCAGTGTGATCCATTCATTAGAAATTTCACGGAACTTTTAATGTTTTTATGTATTGCTTGTTGTGTTGTCATTTTTTCTGAATAGTTCTATAATACTGATTCGAATGCTTTCGACTGCAGTATGTCATCTTATGCAAGCAGTGACAACGGATTGAAATCAACGACCCAATGAAGCCGTGCGTTCATTCTTTTATCTTTTGCATTATCATTTTGATCTCTTTCTCGTCTTATTCTACAATAGATTGAAACTTGATTCAAATTTCCTCCTCAATTACTGCTCATTTTGCATTGATAATGTTGCATCTGTTGTTTGAAAATTGCATTTTGTTATGTGGAATCTTCTAATGGAATTAATGCTTCTTCAGAAGTGATGTAGGATGCAGTTGAAATCTTATCTGTGACGATATCGTCATACGGATCAAATTCATTATGCCTACTATTCTTTATCAACTTTTAATATCGCTATGTAATTTTATTCGAATGAATCGATATCAATTCACCTCACATGTTTCTGATAACTAATGACTGTAGTTTTGTATTTTAGGTCGGTAAAATCGGAACGGCAATTCGTTTGTTCACATTCGCCGTTGAGTGTGTAGTATAGTTAGAGCGTAGTAAGAATGGGTCGTGCACAACCTCAATAGGTTCCAAAACCGAATTCCCGAGGTTTCACAATTAGTTATAAATTCACAGCACTATAAATGTACCGCGTCCCGTGATGTAAGATATTGAAGGAATCCAGAAAATTTTCTGGATCGTTTGATTACATGTGACGAAAAATGGACCTTATACGACAATCATCCACGTTTGTCATAACGGCTTGATAAGGATGAGTCCCTGGAATCCATGCCAAAATCACCTTTTCATCCGGAGAAGGTCATGGTGACAGTTTGGTGAACGGCTCGTGATTTAGTTCACCAAAAGTTGCTCAAAAGATAATAGCAGAGTGGTATTGTAACCAATCGGAAGTAGTTCTCCAGAAATAAACGGAAATTCGGCCAATTTCCGAGACCAGGAAGACTCCAGTCTTGCTGCATACATTCCAGAATCACTAAGTATAAATTGCAGAAACTGTACTGGAGAACCCTCACTCAGTCGCCATATTCCAACAAAGTATAGTAAGGAACCCAACAAAGAAAAATATGTCCTAAAATGAGGTCAGGGGAATGCTTTATCTTAGGGGTCCCCATAGGGAGAAAACGCACTTTTGGGTAACTTCAGGTGTGAAGGATTAATGAAGAAAATAAGAAAATTAGTTTTGACGTTATGCAAGGAAGTAGTAAATTATTGTAGCCGGAGGGAGGATGTTAAAGTCTTGCCAGACCATCGAAGGAGATAATACAGCGCCCGGGCGTGGGAAACACTGCTTTACAAGACCGTCAATACGGCAGCCACAAGAAAGTAGATTACATCAGCAATCTTCTGGCAATAGAACAACATAAAAATCGGAATTTGCTGACTTCAGCCAAACCTGGCATTTTTGACTGATATTTTTGGTCACCTGAACTAGCCTAACCTTCGGCTGCAGGGGAAATAACATTAAATAACATTAAATAACAATAAATAACATTAAAAAACATTAAATAACAATAAATAACATTAAACAGCATTAAATAACAATTAATAAGAATAAACAACATTAAATAACATTAAGTAATATTAAATAGCATTAAATAACATTAGATAACATTAAACAACAATAAATAACAATAAATAAAATTAAATAACATTAAATAACAATAAATAATATTAAATAACGTAAAACAACATTAAATGACAATAAATAACAATAAATAACATTAATTAAATAACATTAAATAACAATAAATGACATTAAAAAACATTAAATAACAATAAATAACACTAAAAACATTAAATAACGGTAAATAATCTTAAATAACACCAAATAACATTAAATAACATTAAATAATAATAAATAACAATAAATAACATTAAAAAACATTAAATAA